CCGTGCCCGGGTGAACCTTCCTGGTGCCCTGGGCTCTGTTGCAGGGAGAACGTGCTGAAGAACCTGGACGACAAGGCTTTTGACAAGCCCATCTGCGAGGCTCTCTTAAACCAGAAGTTTTTCAATGGAATTGGGAACTACCTCCGTGCTGAGATCCTGTACAGGTAAGGTGGGTTGAGCACCTGCTGACCTGCCACAGAAGTTTGGTCTCCAAGAGTTCGCCAGAGTTTGATGGCTCCTCGGCTGGGGCTCATCGCCTGGTCGCTGCCAGAACCAAGAGTTCAGGCTTGTGTGTAACAGATGGACTCTCTCAGGTCGAAGATCCCTCCCTTTGAAAAGGCTCGGACGGTGCTGGAGGCTCTGAAGGATCAGGAGCAGGCAAGGAGGAAGAAGGTGGGGAATAGCTGGGGCCTTTTTGCAGGCTCAGAAAGGGGCAGGTTTCCAGACAGATACCGTACCAGGGGTTTGTTTGCCTGTGGCCCTGCGGGACGTCTCGGCAGCTCCCTGGGATCCTGGGAGCCTCTTGCCTTCCCTGTAGGGAGGTGGACTGAGCTGAGAAGTGTTCCTGATTTGGGGTTGGGCTCAGCAGCAGTGGCGGTGGTTCAATTCGCTTCCAGCTCCCAGTCTGGGCTCAGCTGGCTGCCCTGCTCTAGCTCTGCTTTGGGCTTAGCTGGGCACGAAGCTCTGGTTCAGGTCTGCTGTTTTGGGCTTGTTCCAGCCCAGGGTTTGGGGCCAGTTTCAGTTCATGTTTGGTTCCTCGCTCTGATGGGGCAGAACATTGTCACAAGGCCCTCACAGAGCTCACACAGCCCCTGCCCACACCGCTGTTGGGAGGTATTTGCTGCTCTATTTCCCAACCTGATGGCAGGCATTTTCCCTTCACAACTATAATGCTTGCTGCACAGGATCTTTCTCCTCAAGCATTTTACTGTCCTTTGCCATAAACACCCATGTCTGAGCACGTCTGCCCCTCCAACGGAGCGGCAAATGGGACGCAGCGGTTCCATAACCTCACATGTCTCTCGTTCACGTGTGGCCAGGCTGATGAGCTGTGACAGCTCCCCCGGCACATGCACGGGCCCTTGGCTGTGCCCGGCTTCTGCCGTCAGGGTGTATTTGGGGCAGGTGAAGAGGAAGGGGTGAGGAGGGAAATAAACTTAAAAATCTCTGGGGAAGGCTGCAGTAGAGCCCGTGGGAGATTTCGTGGCCTTGGGGGAGAGGTGGTAGCTGTTTTAAAAAAAAGCCTGAAAACAAACCATGCAACCTGAGGGCTGTGTTTACAAACTGCTGGTGTTCCTGTGTGTTAGCCCTCTTTCATGTCTTTGAGGCTGCAGGGAATGTGCTAATGTGCAGTTCAAAGTCTACAATGGAGTGAGCTCAGGGCTGGCATGTGGTGGGGAGTGTGGCAGCTCATCCTCAGGAAGGCAAGAGGAGATGGGGAATCTGGCTGCTGTTGGGAAGGAGAGACTCCGATGAGGCTGGGGTAGCTGGCAGGTGACTTCCCTCCCCTTCTCCATCCCTGCAGAATCCTTCCCTGACGCTGAGCAAGAAGCTGAAGCTGATGCGGGAGAACCCGGACCTCCTGGAGCTGTGCCACACCGTGCCCATGGAGGTCATTGCAGCGGGTGAGGCGACAGGACAGGGAGCTGGGGGACAGGGACAGATGAGGGTGGCAGGGAGGCCTGGGCTTTGCGTTCCTAGCAGCAGCAGGCTTGGGTGGGCACCCCCGACATCATGGTCACTGCTTTCTCTCTACTTTTGTCCTTTCTCTCTCTCCCTTCCCAGAGAAAAAGCTCTTTGACCCAGACCACGCAGACAACTATGCCGCTTTCAAGAACTGGCTGCAGTGTTACTTGGTGCCTGGCATGAGCTCCCTGCGTGACCGCAATGGCAGGACGATATGGTTCCAGGTAGGAGTCTAGGGTCACTGC